TTTACTGACTTGTATCATCAACTTATCAGTGGACACACATCAGGTATTGTACTTGTTATTGACTCCTATTACATCTGGCAAAGCCACTGACCTACAGACTTACTACTAATGCAAATGACTTATCTACTGACTTCTACCATCAACTTATCAGCAGACACACATCAGATATTATATGGTAATGATTGACCTGACCAAACTAGGAAAAGATGCAGGATTTTGAAATGGGGAGGTTTGGGGTGACTCTCGTGAGGGTACCTCATGCCAAAACCACAGAAAAACATTAAGAGGTAGAAAAAAGATATCTAACATAGACTAAACTAAATGAAAGTTTATCAGAAAAAATATTTTCAGATATAAACACATTTTTTCATTTGGGCAAAGGTGAGACGAATAGTCACCCCACTCTCCCACTTTGGACTCACCCCTGGACCCACCCTTGGATCCGCCCCTGCAAACAGTATTTATTTCTCATTCGACAGCAGCTCTAGTTCGCTTGACATACTAATGTCGTCAAAATGACCCTTGTCAGTCAGATACATTGAAGAGTTTACTCAAGTTACATTACTTACTGACTCAATCTTTGCAGCATCTGAAGTTATTAAGCTCCCAATATTTATGTTTTGGTTTTGTATCTTGTTGCAAGTAGTTGGGTCAAGCTTGAGAATCTGGAAGATTCAACATATTCATGTTTTTATTATATGATATTTGCAACATATAGCCTAATGAGAAATACTATTCTTTGGAATGATGCTTAATGAGAAAAGCTTAAAGCAGCAGAATGAAAATTAGGTATGTAACCACCATCCAGCTTGAACTTAAACTTTTGTCTTATGATTATAATCAATTGAAAACAAAATTTTGATAACCAAATACCTTATCATAAATGAGTGTGATACAGCCCTCTTTTGCAAGCAATCCTGTTATCTTACGATGATAATAATAAGGAGTATTGAAGAACAAAGACCCAATACTACATAGGCTGACAACTAGAGCATAGATGTAAGCATCCTTCTCAGTAACTTTGGTCCCCACAGAAAAGTACTTTATTAGCTTCTTGAGAAAGTAAGCCTGGGTAATACCTAATCCATCCTAGAAGATAAGTAAGTAAAATACCATTGTTATAAGGTGTATCAGGGGTGGATCCAGAATTTTGTTCAGGGAGGGGTGCTGCGCACAAAGTTAACCCAAGGAGGGGTGCGCCCCTTAGAATCAAAGGGAAAAACAGTATTGGTTATCTTCGAAGTAGGGGCACAAAGTCGAACCAGGGAGGGGTGCGCACCCCCTGCACCCCTCCCCTTGATCCACCCCTGTGTAAATATGACTGCATGTTGTGCATGTTAAGTAAGTACAGTGGTTGAACCAGGGACATCAATATAGATAAATGTCCATTGAACATACTCTCTATGTATAGCAGTGAAGCCGATCAAGACAATAGAGCTGTGTAGTACATGATAGAGGTGTCTATATCTATAGTAGTCTCTTTATGGACCTCTTCTGAGATAGAAAATATGATGCATTGTGGTCTATCTTGGGTATAAACACTTTTTGTTCATCATAGCTCATGTTGGGTTTGTTCGTACCTAAGCTAGACCAGAATGCATCATGTTCAGTGGACTTAGAAAATTAAGGCATATTTATCTAGATGTTCATGATGTCATCCATCCACTTACAATAATGATAGCAAAGATCATTAGTAGAGCATATCTTGTTCCCAAGGTCTTGACAACTGCTCTAAACAAGCTTGGCTTCTTTTTAATATTCTTATGTTCATTATTCCAATGTCTACACAGCAGAGGAGAAACAGCATTCATTAGTAATAAAGCTTTTCTAATCAAGATGTACGGCCGAGATACCACAGGCATTACAATAGGTACCCATATTTAAAATTTGTTCAATGCAATAATTAAGTAGACAAAAATGTAAACTTACTGTTGTAGCTGACTAGTTGTCTCCTCTATACCAAGACCATGAAGAGACACAAGCTCATTCAAATCACTTTCTTGAAGTGACTTCTTAAATCCTCGGCTCAGCAATGGGTTCAACCACCTACAGAAAAAAAAAATTCATATTTTAATAAAACAATATATATCTGGTCCTTGGAGTAGGTAATTATATAAAATTAGCCAACGAGGAGAATGCCAAATTCAAATATTTCTTTTTTTTTAATTATACTATTATTTGAATGTTATCCTACAAATACAGCTGCCTCACATTGGACACTGGTTTACAAAGCCAGCTGAGAGAACATCGTCTGTCTCAGGCATTGAAAACCAGTGTTGGATGTGATTGGCAGCGATATTCGTAGGTTATTTGAATGTTGACAAATAAAGAGTAATTTTCATAAACATGTGAATCAATTAATTTGTCTGGCAAGTCATATGAAGCTTATTGCAAGTAACTAAGCAAGTATCAAAATACTTAAATAATTTGCATCTGTAATTAGTTTAGTAATGTATGGGTTATGAGGCAGAAATAAAAATGAATATACAGTTGTTGAATTACTAAGAGTTACTATCCAAGCCCATAATTTTATAACTTTATTAAAGTTAGTTTAATAGTTTTCTTACCAAAATGTAAGATACTTTGACAAACAGAATGCTTTCTGCCTGGCTGATTTTCTTGGCTGATGATGATCACCATGATGTTCGACTGAAGCCATCTTGTACAATTACAGTCCCTACTTTGTTCTTAACGACGCTGGGAAAATAATTTCGTAAATTTAAATAAGCAAATGTTTAAATGATGGCCTTTAAGTTTTGGACGAATCGATGAATTTAAAGGAATATAGTAGATCCATGCAGAATAAACTTGTTAAGAGCGTCAAAACAGTAAAACAGCTGTGGCGGTTTATAACTATAACTTGGTGTAAAACTATAACACTGCTACAAAAATATACAATTCAATTATCAGACTTACATATAATATATATATATTATGCAAAATCTAGAGTAAGATAATGTCGTAGTAATAAAGCCAAATAAACATGAAGCTTTCAACGGTAGAAATACAAACAACTAGAACACGAAACAGTAGGAAACAAAACGGACACTAACATACGAAGGTAAACACGTCTTATTTAAAGAAATCCCTTGGATTATCCAAGAAGGACTTAACTACGTTAGCTAGCATTTAGCTCTGTGTGAAAATATAAATGCCACTTCAACTTGGAAATTTATTTGGATGGGAAATGTTGCCTCTACAAAACTAAAACAGCATGAGCTCTGACAACGGTTGATAGATGAAGAATCATATTGAAGTCTGTTCGACATACAATGACAACAATCTAAGAGCTTTCAAAATAATGTCGTATTACACATATAACATACTGTTAGATGGAAGGATTTAGTTATTAGATAGTTTTATGCACTTACCTRACAGATCGGAGGGTACATATCGTCAGCTTGGTTGTTCCACTCATGGTAATGTAAACACACCGGCCACGTGCCAGAACCATCTACGGTAGCTCCACTCATTATGTATACCGGGGAAATGCCGGGGAAAATTATTGGAAATGTTTGAATATAAAACCTGTTGAAGCTTAAAACAACGAAAAAGATKTTTCCGACTTCACATTTTTTATCTTTATTTTGACCAAGAATGTCACGTGACTGACAAGAGTTTCTTTCAAAAAGCCACTACAAGTTTTTCATTGGATTTGTTTGAGAATACAGTAAACCTATTATATTACAACCTAAAGCCTAAAGTTACAAGAAAAGTAAGAAAAGTCTCTTGATGTATATTTATTTTGTACAATTTTCATCTGTAGTGGGCTTCCTGTGTCAGGAACCAGAATGTCACGTGACTCGCAAGAATTTTTTTATCAAAATCAAAGGAAGTTTTCAACTTTTCTTTTAACTCTTAAATGATCTGTTTTAAACCTACAGTATCTTTTATGGATACCATAAAGGTTTTGACAAAGAAAGGAATTATCCGTGATACTAAAAGGCGTGAAAAAGCAACGAACAGCTGTTATAAAGACGCGAAAACTTCAAAGGAAAAAAAAAATTTTTTTTCTTGTTTTAGACAATGGACTGTAAAACAGTGAGGTAAGAGAATGTTTAGTATATTGGAGAACTTCTTAATTATGCTTATCCAAGAGATGTATCGTATATGCTTGTTGGGTAATCTTTTTATATCTAAACTTGTATTATTCTTTGAAAATACTAAACCAATCTTTTCAGAACTTACCTTGTTTCACCTTGTCTCCGTAAAAAATATGTACATTCTTTTTAAAAGTGCTTCTAACGCACTATTTTTTACGTTAGGACTTTAAATTCAGCATCGTCCATGAGTATAATGTACTTTTATAACCGTATATCAATTATCCCGCTAAGGTTCAATTTTTCTACATTGAACAGTCATTGAACATCAGTCAAATCAGCAGACGCCATTTTGAATCCTGAGAAAGTCCTGGGTACTAGCCTGAATCTGCGCGCACAATAATTGACGTATAGTTAAACGTAGTWGTACGTCATTATTTCTGATTATGACATCATAATCACCTCGATCAATGAAAATGCTCATTTGTAAAGTTTTCTCCGATCGTTCAACATTGTTTTGTTGCGCTCCGATAAAAACRAGAAAAAGTTCACATATTAATAGTCTAAAATGGGTTGCGTCAATAGTAAAGTAAAAAAAGAAGAACCGGAAACGGTGAGTGTCTATGCAATCGAGATTATCCAACTACATTAGGTGAAATAAGCGGTTTTTTAGTTTAGAACTAAAAAATAAGTCTGGAATGTAGTCTATGCTCTTGTCTTTCAATGAATGTTCTCTTCTCTTCTCTTCTCTTCTCTTCTCTTCTCTTCTCTTCTCTTCTCTTCTTTTCTTTTTTCATTTCATTTATTTTCTTTTTCTTCTTTATTTTTTAAAGCGCAACGTTTGCAAAAATTTTTGCGAGAATCTAGTTGACGCCTTAGACTTACAGAAACTTATTGCGCAATCTCTATAGCTGACTTGCCTTTAACATTAATTAGCTGATGGTTCCTATTGTTACTAATATCCATTCTATCACTATCCATAAATAGCACCAATATTTTCGATTACTTTTGTAGTGCGCAAAAACAAACAGTTTTGGCCAGGTAATCACTAAAACATTTAGTTTTTTTGCTCGATAGATGACTTTTTGTTGCGCGTAACTTTATAATTGTATATGCGTCATCCACGAACCGGCAATATTCCGCGCAGATGGTGCAAGGGTGGATACAGTGTGCTTTCCTTCTACTACCATAGTTATGCATACTGTATTTAGCCTTATGTGCAACAGGGTACACGTGGTAATTTATTTTTTCTGCGCAACTTGTGCTTGGGCGGTTTCTAGCTCATAACTTTCGCGCGCAGTGAGCATATGCATATGGAATATGCGCGTTATAAATATCAAAGTTATTGTTATTATCATTACTGTATATTTGCTGTTAATCTTTCGAACCTTGACTTGATTTATGTTTAAGCAATACATTATGTATAAAAACACTTAACCAAAATACTGCCATTAAGTATTTTTCTTCCAAAGCAATATCTTTAATCATGCATTATATACGTATCTTTTCAGATTTCCATTTCTGATGTGCTAGAAGAATTATCCAGATTCAACAAGAGAAAGCGATGTTACTTAAAAAGAAAAAGTAAGTTTGTCTCTCCCCCAAATGCTACCTTTGTGAGTAGTACATAGTGTTATTGCAAGAGATTGGCATTCTTTCTTGGTTCAATTGAGAAGTATCGTTGGGTTCACCAGGTCTGCAAATCAGGATAGTATCCAGAAAAAAATGCACATGATCATTCTACTTCCTAATGCCGAAGTTCATTCATTATACAGGGTTTGTGCTACTCCTTCAACTCCTTGGAAACTCCTTGAATTTTTGCTTTGATCATTACTTGCATGGTTCTTAAATAGATCTAGTCAGAAAGATCGGAAAATCTGAATGTCGCCATGTGCAACCACCGTGTAAAACCTTAGCATAGTTAGCTAAACAACACTCCTTGAAAATTCATTTTTGGATCATTGTACTCTCCTTGAATAGTCCTTCAATTTTAAGTCGTTACCTCGACACCAACCCTGAAAATCAAATAGATTACAATATCGAATAAAACGG